CAGCAGAAGGGTGCTCTACTAAGTACTAAAGATGCTTGCCATGAAGAGGTTGAATAATTTTGAGACTGAAGAAGTCATAAGTTGCATTTTCAGTTGAATTTGGGGAAACCACTTGAAGCATTCGTTATGTTGAGCTGTTTCAGTTGCTTTTGTTTGATTTGTTCATGGCAAACAGCTGAAAGTCTGTACATTTTGACAATAAACCTGATTTGCAATGGGGGTTGAGTAATTTTGATTGCAGCTGTACCTGTTTTATTCTTTCTTTTGAAAATAAATTTATCTGACTAGATAGTAGGTATTAAATATAATTTGCAAAGTGTTGCAAAATCCTTGCTGTACAAAATAATTTTATACAGAAAAATTATTATATATAATTAATATATTATAGTGCTTATAATATAATAAATATATAAATTATATATTTTGCTTCAGAGGGAAAAATAGGCATTATTATCCCCATAGGCTTTTTATTATCAAAAAAAATCGTATTGTGCTTGGAATGTTTAAACCTGAGATCCTGTTACATTTTTAGTTCAACAAATCTAATGACAAGGAAGTACTGCATTAATAATAACTTTTTGTTGCATCATAGCCATCCTGTCCAACCTTAAATTGTAGTCTGATTTTTATTATATTTAGTTGGAATGTATCATAGCTTAATATCTTAATTGTTAACTAAAGACAAAAATGAACTATCTAGCTAAAACATGAACAGGGGTAGTCGCATGTCATTGTTCTTTCTCTGCACATAGAGAGGCTAGTTCAAATGATCCTTTATGTATTTTTTTACCTGCATTATGTTTCTTAGCCAGAATTATATGCTGATTTGAACAGGTTTTGCAGAAGGTAAAATGATCAGTGGAGATGTACTAAAGACTGTTCTGTGAATTGAAATACACCAATAGAAGAGAATATGTGTAGCTCAGGATTGAACCCGAAGGACTATACAGAATTGAAATATGTTTGTGAATTGCCTTGAATGACAATGTTTTAAAAAGACAATGTACAGTATAAACTAAATGCTAGCAGTCCCTCCCACCTCCCATTTTACAACATTGGCAAATGTGTGAATTAAGGTGTAATTCACTTTCCATAGTTCTGCTGTAATTTCAGTTGCCATGATGCCTGCTGCAATAAAAAGACCCGACGGCACACCAATGTATGATCCTCACCTTCTTCAAGAACTGGATTGGACCCAGAATACTGTGACATTTTCTCCTGCTATTTCTCCTGAGGATCCAGGTGATGGTTTAGTTCTGAGACCTCTTTGCAGTGCTGACATCAACAGAGGTATTTACTTTGAAGTATTTTTCATGGTTGAATTAAATGGGAATGATTGGTGATTTGTGTCAAATTGCATGTTTTACTGACATAAAACTTAGAATTGCTAGGATCTACAAGCAAAGTAAAGGGAATATGTTTCAAAGCAGTTGTTCTCTTCATCCAAAGAAAATTCAGAAACACTGCAGATGATAATGATTTTGAGCAGGGAAGAGTAAGCTTTTGAAGCTGAGACTATGCAGATTAAAAGATATAACAGGATCTGAATATTCTGACTTTGGAGTCCTTGGTGTTCTCTAAGCTTGGTTGTTTGCTTGCAGATGTTTCATTACCCAACTAAGTAACACAATCAGTGCTAGTGAGTGTGGGGTTTTCTTCCTCTTTATATACAGCAGCTTGCCCTGCCAGTGTTGGTGGGGGTGTCATTTTCTCCTTGGTAGTTCCTTGATTAGGGTATTGTTTTCTGCTTGATCGTTTGTCTGGTGTTAATTCCTGCTGCTGTATATAAACAGGGAGCAAACCCCACACTCACTAGCACTGATGACATTACCTAGTCAGGTAATGAAACATCTGCAAACAATCAAGCTCAGAGAGCACCAAGGACTCTACAGTTTAACCTTGAGCTACATACATTCTCTTCTATTCTAACTTTGTTAGGACTACATATTCCTAACCCCTAATATGTTGACATGATTGTTAACAAAAAATGAGCATGAAGTGCAGTGGCCACAGACGCTGCTGCTGCAGAACTTGGGTGCACTTGAAGATTAGTTGCTGCTTGGAAGAGGGTGTTTGCCTGGTGAATTTAACTTTGTAATGCCTAAATAGGCCTTTTTGCTACTATCCAGTTATCTTTTTTTTTTTTTTTTACTCCATTCCATCCAAATTTTTCCCCTTTTTCCTGTCCTGTCCTATCCTGTGCAGCTATCCCTTGTGTCTTATAGTCATCTATTTTTTTTTTATTTTTGCTTTTCCTTTGGGGAGAGAGCACGTGTATATATGTATTTCTCTGTGTGATAAGAGTTTGTTAGAATAGTTGGTAAATGCAGGTGGGGATTCATTAATTTTGTAAATGAAGTACTTTATTTTACAGGCAATTTATTCAGGTAATATAATACACCTTTTTTGTCCTTTCTTCTAGAGTGAACATTTTGGCACATGCACATACTTATACAAATGTGTCATGTGCACATATTGGAAAAAAGAAATCTATTAGTTGATAGATTTAGATTAGATAAATGATTAGCTGAAGTTGGCCACCCTATATTGAGAAGATGAGCACGTCATAGTATTGCCTGTTTACAAATGCTTTTTTGCCTACTCTTTTGTGGGGAGATTATACCTTCTTTCTGACAAATATAGGGTTTCTGGAATCTACTAATAACAAGTTGTTCATATTAAGTAGCTCAACCGCTCTCTTCTTGGTTTGGTTTAGATGCCACAACAAGTCATTGGAATAAATCTAATTGATATTGAATGAAAAATAGTCAAAACGTAGTTTTAGATTCCTAAATGTTACTTTGATTAAAGTAAGTTTTATAAAAACAGCAAGATAGACGGTTTTGGACTGAAGCATTTACAGTGGGGCAAAAAAGTATTTAGTCAGCCACCAATTGTGCAAGTTCTCCCACT